GGAGAACCTGCTGCCCTTTGCCGTGCGCTGCCGCAACCTGACGGTGTCCAACACGCGCACCGTGCTCCTCACCCCCGAGATCTACGTCAACCAGAACGTGTACGAGCAGCTGGTGGACCTGCTGCTGGAGACACTGAGGGGGGCACGTAAGTGCAGCTGGGCTGTGCCACGGTGCTCACTGTGCCACGGTGCTCACTGTGCCACTGCCTTGGTGCTGCGAGGCTGCCCTGCAGCATCCAGGGCTTGGGTGAAGCTTTGGCTCCCCTTGCTGCCAACAGGGGGGTTGTGTTTGGGTCGGTTTGGCTGTTGGAGCACTGTGAGTAACAGCCTTGTGTCTCCTGCCAGAGTTTGAAGACATGACCGAGTTCCTCGAGGAGGTCATAGAGGCCTTAACAATGGACGAGGAGGTGCGCACATTTGGGGAGGTGATGGTTCCCGTGTTTGACATTCTGCTGGGGAGAATCAAGGACCTGGACCTCTGCCAGATCCTGCTCTACACATACCTCGATGTGCTCCTGTACTTCACAAAGCAGAAGGACATAGCCAAGGTGGGTACTCTGGCTTAGGCAGGGGCTTTTTGCAGGGGCACATGAACAAGACCTGATCTGCAGAGGTCAAACCAGAAGTGTGGTGTATGGGTAGTCATACCTCTCCTCTCCCTTCTCATAGCCTGCCACAAACCCATCAGTATGTTAGGGTTTTTTGCTGGTTTTTTCAGCATGTCCTGATGTGTTCCCCAGGTTTTTGCAGGCTACATACAGCCCAAGGATCCCAGCAATGGACAGATGTACCAGAAGACTTTGCTTGGTGCCATTCTAAATATCTCCTGCTTGTTGAAGACCCCTGGCGTGGTGGAGAACCATGGCTACTTTCTGAATCCATCCCGATCCAGCCCACAGGAGATTAAAGTGCAGGAATCCAACATCCATCAGGTGGGAGAAGTGGGGCAGTTCTGCTTCCTGTGGTGTTAGTGGCCTCTCATTGCTGAGGGTTCACAACGTGGTATCAGGGCTTGAGTTCCACTGCTGGTTCAGGAATAGCTTGCCTTGCAACTAGGGGTGTCCAAAAACTGCTTTGAACTCTCCAGCTGGAGCATGGAAACAGTTTTGCCAGCTGCCTTGGGTCATTATAACCCAGGTCTTTGTGCCTTATCAAAGTTGGCCTGAGCCTTTGGAAAAAGAGTGGCTGGTACTGGTGGAGCAGACATCAGTAACCTGAGGTGCTACCTGGAGATCATCTACCTCAGGTGTTGCAGTCACCAGGGAGTAGTTTTCAGTGCCTGTCCTGTTATTATTAAATAATTAAAACACTAATTGATTCACCAGTTGAGAAAGTGACAGGCAACGTTCTCTCTCATTATGCAAGTAATTTTCTTCCTTAGAGAAATACCTAGGAATTCATTCCTAGGAATGTTCCAGTAGGTCAGGAGTAAAACATGAGGATGCAGGATATAAACGCAGGAGTGAACTGGGGTGCAGAGGTCATCCCTGAGGCTTTCCCCTCCCACTCAGGGGTTCTTTCAGGCTGTCAAAAATAGGCAAAGAATTTTGGATTTACTCCGTATGAGAACAAATGGTCTCAGCTGTGCTTTTGCCTAATTGTTGTTTTGTGCCAGCCCCAGGATCTGACCTGCTTGTAACACCTGTGTGTGATGGGTGATTCATGGGGTGTCCCAAGGAGCAGGAAAGGGTCTGATAGCAGTGGTGTCACAGAGGCAAAAGAACAACCCCCAAGGACTCATTCAGCTGTGTTCTGTTTCCTCTAACAGTTCATGGCCCAGTTCCATGAGAAGATCTACCAGATGCTGAAGAACCTGTTGCAGCTGTCACCGGAGACGAAGCACAGGATCCTGTCCTGGCTGGGGAACTGCCTCCATGCGAATGCGGGCCGCACCAAGATTTGGGCTAACCAGATGCCAGAGATTTTCTTCCAGATGTACGCCTCAGATGCCTTCTTCCTCAACCTGGGGGCTGCCCTCCTGAAGCTGTGCCAGCCCTTCTGCAAACCCCGATCTCCAAAGCTGCTAACCTTCAACCCTACCTACTGTGCCCTGAAGGAGCTGAATGAAGAGGAGAGGAGGAGCAAGAACGTACATATGAAAGGTACACCTAAGCTTTGGGGATGGGAAAGGGAATCTCCTCAATCTCCACTTTACCCACTAATGCCTTCTCAGTAAACCATTAGGGTTAGGGGAGAGTTAGAATTGTGACTAGAGAGGAGCAAGAAGAGAGCTGAGTGCAAATAAAATGCTGCCAGTTATCACCAGGAGCCCTTTTGTGTCCTCAGAAGAGATCCTCTCAAGCCCTCTCCTCACCAGCACTGCTGGGTAGGACCTGATGCAGAGATGCTTTTCCATACAGGTTTGGAAAAAGAAACATGTTTGATCCCTGCTCTGAGCGAGCAAGAGCCGCAGTTTGCAAACAGCTACAACCTGGTGACGGAAAACCTGGTGCTCACGCAGTATACCCTGCACTTGGGGTTTCACAGGTACTTGTTTCAGTTCCCCTGGGGCTGTTTTCCACCCATGTGCAGCTCTGCACATTTCAGTAAATACTGTGAACACAGGGTGGCCAGCTGAGGTGCTGTTTGAACTTCAGCCTGACTGACTGCAGGAAGAAATTTTACTTGCATTTTTGCTAATCAGGATACACTCAGGCTTTAAAGTCATTGTGGGTTTTGATTCTCAAACCCCCTTGGCCTTTCTGCAAGTGCTTTATCTTAATAAAGGAGTCATGCAGGCTCCCTGTTACTTGTAGACACCAACAGCCAAGTGCTGGTATTTGTAGGTTGCTCCATTCCCCTTCTCCTTGGGGCAGGAGCCTCATCCAGGTGGCAGAGCACCTGTCCACTGGGAGTGTATGTGAAACAGCAATGTGAGGTAGCTGTCAGCTTCCAGGAGAGGATTTTCTGGACACTAAAAGACTCTGTTTTGCACGACTTCCCTCTGCAAATCGTTGCCTAGATACTGTGAGGTCATGGCTGATCCAAGCAGAGTCCCCTTCTGGTTTATTCTCTAAATATAGACATTGACAAAAAAGTTATTATGCAAGTGGCTTGTTGCTGGGAAACTGAAGTGTCACCTTGCAAGCGTCTCTGGGCCGTGTTGGATCCCTGACCTCAGTGACCCAAGGGAGCTCTGCTGTGTCCCCAGGCCGCTCTGCAGGTGCCATGGTCCCTCAGACGGTCTCGTACCCTCCCAGGTCCTGCCAAGCCTTTCCCCAAGGCTTCCCATTGCAGAGCCCCAGACAGGGTACCCACAGGAAATTATCTGAATCCACCAGCTTCTGCATTGGTGAGGCAGGATGTCTGTCTTTCTGTCTGTCTCCTGAGCCCCTCCTTGCCTCCTTTCCCGGGCAGGTTGCACGACCAGATGGTAAAGATAAACCAAAGCCTTCACCGCCTGCAAGTGGCGTGGCGAGAAGCTCAGCAGAGCTCCAGCCCCGCTGCTGACAGCCTCAGGGAGCAGTTTGAGCGCCTGATGACCATCTATCTGTCCACCAAGACGGCCATGACGGAACCACAGATGCTGCAGAACTGCCTGAACCTGCAGGTGTCCATGGCAGTGCTGCTGGTGCAGCTGGCAGTGGGGAACCAGGGCAGCGAGCCGCTGGAGCTGAGCTTCCCGCTGCCGCAGGTGGAGCACAGCGCCTTGGCCTACGTGCCAGGTGAGGCCACGGGTGCTGCTCTGTGCCAGCACCTGCATGCATCAGCACTGCAAGAGCTGCCTGAGCAAGTGCTCCCCTGTCCAGGGCAGGACACGGTGCCACCACCGACATTGTGCAGAATATTCTCTCTGAGGAGGATCTCTCTTAGAGAATTTGGGGCTGTTAGAGGGGCCATACTTAGGGTGGTGAAGCTGCTGACCTTTTAGAAGTCTTACTCATTTGCAAGTGGCAAGTTCTACGTTCATTTAGTGTTTTCTCTATATGTAAACTGTTTTTTCTGGGGCCTGCTTCAGGATTCTTCCCTTGGGGGTTGTGTAGAAGTGTGTCATCATGGTGGATTCACCCCAGAAGTGACCTGACTTGTGGGAGGGAAGAGGGGAAGTGAGTCCCACGTGTTACTCATGCCATCAGGCTGGGCATCCTTCTCCATGGCAGCTTCTAATACAGCTTTTTAATTACTAGTACTTAATCAGCATCAGGGCGATGAGGGGAGAGTGGATGGGAGGCTGGAAAAGGGCAAGGTGAGCTGCCTGGGGAGGAGCTCAGCTGCAATCTCTGTTTGCAGAGTTCTTTGCCGATAATTTGGGCGACTTCTTCATTTTCCTGCGGCGTTTTGCTGATGACATCTTGGAGACTTCTGCTGATTCCCTGGAGCACATCCTTCACTTTGTTACTGTTTTCATGGGTGATGTGGAGAGGTAGGTGCAACCCTGGGTCCTTGTTGCAGAGCTCCCAGGGTGACCAAGCAAGTAGAAATTGCAGAGCTGTCTTGAGGCTTGGTTTGTGCAGCTGCAAGCAGATTGATCTTTTTGAAACAGCTGAAAATCTTTTTGAAAACAGCTGAAATATGCCTGCAAGAGGCGCAAAGGGAATACAGGCCTGCCTAGAGACCACAGGCTTCATGCAAGGTTCAAATGGGATTTGGTGCTTAAATGTATGTGTTCCCACACTCTCCCTTTGCTTGAGATTCCACTGTGGCATGGTGTCTATGCAAGTGACTGCTGACCCAGGGCTGGCTTTACTGATGGTTTGCAGCAGTCTGGCACTCAAGCATGGATGAACACAGATCCTGGATTGATTCCTGAGCAGCTCCATTCTGCACCATGGACATGCCATCCTGGATTTGCTTTGTTTTGTCTTGCAGGATGAAAAATCCTCACCTGCGAGCCAAGCTGGCTGAAGTGTTGGAGGCTGTGATGCCTCACTTGGATCAGGCTCAGAGCCCGCTCGTCTCGAGCGTGTTCCATCGCAAGCGAGTGTTCTGCTCCTACCAACACGCCGCCCACCTGGCCGAGGCACTCATCAAAGTCTTCGTGGATATCGAGTTCACGGGTAAGCACAGAATGGGAAGAGTTGTGTTCCCTGTGTAGCACCTGTGGGGGACTGTCCACTTGAAAGGTTCTTTGGCTTGTGCCCAGGTGACCCACACCAGTTTGAACAGAAGTTCAACTACCGCCGTCCCATGTATCCCATCCTGAGGTACATGTGGGACACTGATTCCTACCGGGACAGCATAAAGGTGAGGCGAGAGGTGCATGCCTGAGTGTGCCATGTGGGTGTGCAGCTCACCTGGGGGCTCCACGTCCTGCCATCGGGGCTGGGCTGCAGAATTTGCTATTTCCTTTCTTTGCAGGCTCTGGCTGATTATGCCTCAGAGAACCTGGAGGCAATGAATCCCCCTCTCTTCTTGCGCTTCCTTAACCTGCTCATGAACGATGCCATTTTCCTGTTGGATGAAGCCATACAGGTAGGGCTGAGTTCACGTTCCATCACTGTCAGGTAAACAAGGTCTCACTTCCTTGGTGCAATACTGACCTCCAGAACAGGGCCAGCTTGCCTGGCTCTGCCTGGTGAGTCTCTGCAGTAAGTAGTATGCAGGAAACAATCCCAAGATGGAGTGGCCGGTGCCCTGTAAGAAGGGGTGAAGGCAGGACGAAGGGTTGGGGCCCTGTCTGTGGGCTACCCTTCCTTCCGTTGGGTTCAGGAGGCAGCTCAGAACCAAGAGGAGCAAAAGAGCTTTTTCAGATCCAACAGGAAGCACGCTGGGAAATCTGCCTGTTCGTAATCTGGATACACTCAGCCTTTAAACAATCACTGTGGGTTTTGATTCTCAAATCTCCTTGGTCTTACTGCAAGTCTTTGGGATTGCAAGGGAATTTCAGGTGCTCTCATGTCCCTGGTGTGTGTTAAATGTCTCTCCACTCCTTTCAGAGCTGCTGTTGCTGCTAGAAAGGGCTATTTTGGGGAGCTATTACCTGCTAGAGAGCTGATTGCTTGAAGGCCAGCAGATAAGATGGGTGATACGGATGTTGCCTGACTGGTTTTGAGTGTTTCTGGACCTCCTTGGTGTCACCACCCACGCAAACAGTGCATGTATTCTGTCCTGCAGTACCTCAGCAAGATCAAAGTTCAGCAGATTGAGAAGGACCGAGGCGAGTGGGACAGCCTGTCCCCCGAGGCTCGCCGCGAGAAGGAGTCCAGCCTGCAGATGTTTGGTCAGCTGGCCCGTTTCCACAACATCATGTCCAATGAAACCATTGGCACTCTGGCTTTCCTGACTTCAGGTGGGGAAGATGGTCCCTCCTGCCTGCCAGGGTGTGAGCAGGCCGGAACTTGGTTTCAGTGTGGTCAGATGAGGATGGAATTGCTATGAATCTGCAAGCTGTTGTTTTGCTTTCCAGAAATCAAGTCCCTGTTTGTGCATCCTTTCCTTGCCGAGCGCATCATCTCCATGCTCAACTACTTCCTGCAACATCTGGTTGGGCCTAAAATGGGAGCTTTGAAGGTGAAAGATTTCAGTGAGTTTGACTTCAAGCCACAGCAGCTCGTGTCTGACATCTGCACCATCTACCTAAACCTTGGGTAGGTGATGAGGGAAGTGAGCTTGTCAGGAGCCATGCAGGAGCCATCTTAGTGATACTGGGGGAGAAATGCTTAGTTACACTCGAGCTTTTCTTTAGCTTTGAGTTCTTTGCTATGGGAATGTGGCTGCTGTGGGGACTGTTTTGCAGCCCTGATAAATGGGGATTCTTAAACCTTTCTCTCACATAACCTGGTGCAGGGATGAAGAAAACTTCTGTGCCACAGTCCCCAAGGACGGCCGCTCCTACTCACCGACGCTCTTTGCCCAGACCGTGCGGGTTCTGAAGAAGATTAACAAGCCTGGCAACATGATTGTGTCTTTTAGTAACCTGGCTGAGAGGATCAAGGTGAGCACTGGAGGGAATTCAGCATACAAAAAGAGATAGAGATGGTTCCCTGTGTCCTTTTGGCTCCATGTATTGCTGCATCTTTGCTGTGGAGCTGGATTTCTGGGAGTGGAGCTTTGTGCAAGGTCCAGCTGGGGCAGCTGGGAGGGTTCCCTGCCTGCACAGACCTGTGAATGCTCCCTGGTTTTTAAAGGGCGGGGAGGCGGAATCCCTCAGAGCCACGTGTGCTCCCTAGTCTCTTGCAGACCGGCAGCAGCAGGAAGAGGAGACATACGCAGATGCCTGTGATGAATTCCTGGATCCAATCATGAGCACTCTGATGTCAGACCCCGTGATCCTGCCCTCCTCCCGTGTCACTGTGGACCGATCGACCATAGCCCGACACCTCCTCAGGTGTGCAGCACAGCCCTCTCGCCTTGATACTTTTGGGAATCTGTTTCACATATCCAGGGACTCTTCCTGGCCTCTCTCTATTTTTTTTTTTCTTTTTTTTTATCTCTAGCACCAGGAATGTCCAAGTAATCTCCTTGATCTTTTCTGTTTCAGTGATCAGACAGATCCTTTCAATCGGAGTCCCCTAACTATGGACCAGATCAGACCAAACACAGAGCTAAAAGAGAAGATACAGAGATGGCTTGCAGAGAGGAAAAAGCAGAAGGAGGAGGAGCTGGAGGACACTCTGAACTAAAAGACAGGCTCTCATCTCTAAACCTCCTGTCATGGGCAAGATCACAGCCATGCAGGGGTAACGGCTGGAGCTACCACCCTAATGACGACCACATTTAGTGCATTGCCACCACCTTTGGAGTCTCTCCTCAGACCTTCCCTGCCAGCCCTTGTTCTCTCTTTTCCTTTCAAGACTCTCTCTTTAATACTACGACTTCCCACTGCACTACAGCTTTGAGCCTCAGCCACGGGAGAAGAACACAGCCTCCTCATGATGTGGTGCCCTGGCTCTCTATTACCTGCTCTTTGTGTTGGCCGTGTTCTTTTCCAGCAACACCAAAAGCCTCCCTCTGTTCTGTGTTTAAACTGTAACCATCTCTCACTTGGTGAAAATGAGGGGGCGTTTTTCTGACTTTTATGTGCCAGGGGTGTAGCAGGGTTTACTTCCCCAGTGAGTGTTGGGAATGGCGGGCGTTGGAAATTAAACACAGAGATCATCTTACAGCTGGTGCTGGAGGTGTGGCGCTGCCGGGAGCTCTAAAAAGCCTGTTTGGGCTCGGTGCGGGCACCGGCGCGCTTCCGGTACTGCGCGGGTCTCGAACCCGCGGATCCTGCGCGGCCCCGCCCCGCGCACGTGACCCGGGGTCCTCGCTGCGGGCTGCCCTCGGCGATCGCCGGTGCGGTGAGCGGCGGTGACATTGAGCGCGCTGCAGCGATGGCCAAGGCCGCGCAGGGGCTGGTGCAGCGGCTGGTGCAGCGCGGGCCCGAGCTGGTCGGCGGTGAGGGGCGGCGCGGGGCACGGGGAGGGAGCGGGGCTGCCGTGGGGCGGGCTGAGGCGAGGGGGGAGCGACAGCGGGCCGGGGGGAGCGCAGGGGAGGGGATGGGGCGCGGGGCTGAGGGCAGCGGGACCGGAGCAGGGCAGGCCTCGCGGGCTCCCGCCGCTGGGAAAACACCGTCCGCTCGCTCCCCTTCCCGCAGCCGCCGTCAAGTACTCGAAGCCGCGCTTGGCCACGTTCTGGTACTACGCCAAAGTGGAGCTGGCCCCGCCGACCCCCGCCGAGATTCCGCGGGCCATCGATAGCATGAAGGACCTGGTCAGGGCCTTCCAGAGCGGCCGCCTGGCGCAGCTCACTGTCAAGGTACCGGCGGGGCGGGATGCGGCACTGCCGGGACACAGCTCCAGCGGGAGCCTCCTATCCACCCGGGACATGCTCTGCTCCTGCCTGGGGAAGAGTAGGAACTGTTCTCAACGGCATATGAAGCTCATGGAATTCAGGGGCTCAGAGTTTAAAGTGTTTTATTTTATTTGCTTTAATTCTTCCCTGCCTGGACCAGGCTGTGATTGCTCCCTTCTGCTCCCAGGGAAGGGAGAATCCATAGGTGGCTGAATGAGCCCAGCCTTCTGGATCAGCTGTGTCATCGGTTGGCCCTGAAATTAGTGTGTTTCCCGTGTGTGGGCTAAGAAATGATCCTTGAAAGGGCTATAAAAAGCCAAAATCAATAGCTGGCAGTGTGCTTAATGCTGTAGAACATTTCTGTGATGGGACGTGTTGAGGGGTACCCTCTGCTCCGCTTCTGGGTTTTCACCTTGAGAACTGCTGGAGGACATGGACGTGGGGTGGGAGTGAGGGAGGGGCTGTTGTGGGAGTGTGGGATCTGAGCAGTGGCTTTTTCCTTTCAGGACGCAGTGAGGAACGGCCTGGTGGCCACAGAGGTGCTGATGTGGTTTTACATCGGGGAGATCATCGGCAAGCGCGGCCTCATCGGCTACAACGTGTGAGCACTCACCTCAGCAGTGCCAGCAGTGCTGGGTCTGTAATGGGGGCTGCAACAATAAAACTAGGAGCTGATCGAGCTGTTGTCATCCTTGTCTGGTACTCTGACAGGTGCCAGCCTGTCCTGGGGGCAACGCTGGCAGGGATGGCTCCTCAAGGGGGGTCTAAGGGCCAGGCCCAAGGGTGCCAGAGTGCTTCAGTGACAGCACTTGGTCACCAGAGCTCTCTTTGCTCTGGGACACTCACTGTGTCCCAACTGTGGCTCCAGGGGAGGTCTGAGAGCCCCAAAATCAAACAGAGTCTGCAAAGGCGAAATATTCCATTTGTTCCTGAATGCAGTTCCCATCAGCTACTGGGACCCAAAAGCAAATTCCAGTACTTTTTCCATTATCAAAAGCAATTTCCATGGCCTATTCCATAGGGAACGTAGCCCTTCAGGTTTGGTATCTGACTGGTGCAGTGGAAGCCTGTGTAAGTAAGCAGAGCCTTTTTACTTACATGTCGTACCTCAGCTACCACCAGTCAAAGGTTGAGCTGTCTGGGGTTCTACCACCTTGCTCATTGTCAGCCAGCTCTTGCAGGGTTTTCTACAAAACCTGGTGAGTACCCTGTGCTCTGACATGTTCAGAAAATAATTTGTAGGTGTTTTCTGCGGCTAGCAGCCTGTTCTTACTGTCTTAGAAGAGATGGTTTTAGTCATTATTGCTCCTCGTTGATACAGTTGTTGTCCTGCTGCTCCTTTGCTTCTGTGGGCGTTGTGCTGTGCACATGGTGACCCTGCAGGCCCCCAGCCCTCAGTGACCCTGATGTCTTGGGGTGACTGTGCATGTCACTTGCTCTCCCTGCAGCAGAACTGCCCTTCTCAGCAGCTCATCCCAGCACAAGGCCTTGTGTGCTTCTGACCGGGAGTGCAGCTGAGCTCACACACTCCAGATGTGGTAAGGTTGTTCATGGCATGGATGGAGACCTTTTCTTCCGTCTTGTTAAAAAGAAGACTTCCTGTCCCAGCAGCTCTGGGTCACAGCTGGTCACAGGTCACTTCCATGCCACAGATGGGAAAACTGAGGCTCAGTGAACTCCTTATCTTCTGTGGGGGAGTGTGCAACAGGAGCATTGACTGGACCTGTGCTTCCAGCCCCCTGCCCAGCCTGTGTCCTGTGCTTGCATCTCCCACCAGCCTGGCCAGGACACCATTCCTGCCTTGCACAGCCTTCCTCCTGGTGCTGCAGAATTTTGTGATTGCTCAGCCCAAGCAAACCTGACCAGGGCTGCAGCCAGTGCTCTGGCTGAGCAGGGGTGAATGATGGCCCCCAAAACTGCTCCTCCCCACAAGCTTTTTGCTCCTGTCATCACAAACTCTTCACCCAGCACGTAGAGACCAGCGAGAGCAATGGACCAGGCCCTGGTATGAGATTCTGCAGGATATGTTCCTCAAGGAGAGGAAGATCACATATGGGATGTCATGTGTGAGCTTGACTGGAAGGAGAACCCCACTGAGGGCAAGGCTGTCTGATCTAGCTCCAAGAGCTGCCTCTCATCTCTGACTTGTTCTTGTCTGCATGTGCCTCTCTCAGAGCAGGCTCAGTGGGCATTCAGGGGGCTGCAGCTCACACCAGCACTGGCCTGGCAAAAGCTTCAGTGGGAGGATGGGATCAAGCTGCACTAGTAAAGCTTGGGAGAGCTCAAAGATGCTCCTGTCCCTGGAGACGACGAAACCATCTAATTTTAGTTCTCCTCCCGGGAAGTCCTCGGGAGCAGTGCCCCCCCAGCCCCGCTGCCACAGCAGAACCCCAGGCAGAAGCAGCATCCGTGACCCCAAAGGGCTCCAGCAGCTTGTTCGTCCTCCCAAACACCACAAGTGTCTGGCTGCCTCTCGGGGACAGCCTCCCGCCGCCCCTCCCTCCTCCCCTGCCCTCGGCTGATGAACTTCGGAGGAAAATGGGTATTTTGTGTCCCCAGGCAGAGGGATTTACATCTTATCCGCGTGTTTGCAGTGCTGCTCTCTTGGAATACGGTGGGCACTTGTTGGATGTTTAACCCTGTTCTCGCCGTGCCGCGCACGACGGGGTTGCCAGCCCGGTGCT